ACAAACGGTAAGTCGTCCTTGTGACGTTGTGTTGGTTTGTTTGGCTTCTGCCGCGTGCAGTCACCTGACGTCGTTCACCGAATTTTCTGTCAAGCCGCTCCATGGATATCTTGTATGCCTCAGCGGTGTAACCAAGCTGTTCTATGGCTCTGAGCGCATCACCAGTGACGTACTGTCGGAGCTGTAGTAGCTTTAGTTGCGGAGAGATGGGTGCAGCGTCAATGTATGCCATGAAGGCCGCCTTCCAGGTCTCATACATCCCGCACATCTCCGCTGAAGGTCGGAACAGCCACTTTCTTCAGCCTTCCGAAGATATCACCACCGCTGGGCAACCTTGTGCCGTACACAGCTGCTCTGCTGCTTACTGGTTGAACTGCAGGCGGGAATGGAGGGGCCTGAACGTTGAGGCTAGCTCCAGGATGTCCTGGAAAAGATCGAACGGACTTGCGTACTTGACCACTGCTTGCGCCTGCACGTCTGGCATGGATGCTAGCAAGGCTAGATGGCTGCAAGTCTGGCATGGATGCTAGCAAGGCTAGATGGCTGCAAGTCTGGCATGGATGCTAGCAAGGCTAGATGGCTGCAATTCTGGCATGGATGCTAGCAAGGCTAGATGGCTGCAAGTCTGGCATGGATGCTAGCAAGGCTAGATGGCTGACTGGTGACAGTTACTAGATTTGATCACAGAAACAGGATCCTTCACAGGTACAGCTTGTCCAGAACCAGGAATGGGTCCAGTCACACTTGTGACAGGTACATGCTGTGCAGTGGTACTTGCTTGTACACCATGACTTACACTTGAACTGGGGAGGCTGGTGACAGGCTCAGTGGTGTGTGCAGCTGGGGGAAGGCTTTTCTGCATTTGATCAGCTTCTTGTTCTTCAAGACCTTGCTCACTCTGTTTTGAACTAGTAGTGCTGGTCTCTTCAGTTGCTGTGTCCTTGCTGTCATCGCTAGTGCCTCTAGGCGTCCTCAGTGATCTTTCTAGTATCAGTCCAGTCCTGCGATCTGTTTCCATGCTCAGCGCACTCAGTTCACTCTGCATTTGTTGTAAACCCACTCGACCAGTAGATCTACTGCCTTGGCGTAGTCCGAATCCATCCACACCTAGTAAAGGAAACGACTCCCCTCTTTCAAACTGTACACTAGTAAGGCTCTGTGCTGCTTGAGCCTGTCCATACTGCTTCGCTCTTGCAGTCCATAACTCCACAAACTCGTCGTATCTGTCAACCGCCGTCTGCACATCACGATCGACTTCCTCCAATTCCTCCAAAGTCCGTATCACGTTCTTTTTATCGTTTACGAATTCATACGTTTTTTCAGCTCGGAAAGCACTGCTGTTACCGCTTGCTCACTGCAGCGTAGCTCATCGTAAAGGTTTCCTGCACCCACAGCGTCGACCTCATTGTCGCGCATTCCTATCGTTAACTCACGTCGGGTATTGGTTAGATTGCGTTTCAGCTTTATCTTTTCACTTTTCAGCTGCATGATCAGGCTCTTCGTGCCTTCCGTAGGTTCACCAGCACCAGCGCCATCCTCTCCGGTCTGCTCTGACATCGATGCCGCTGTCGCTGTCTCAGTCTCAGCACTATCTATGCATGCACTACTTTCCTCTCGTTCTTCCTCCATTTTTGGAACTATTTCTGAAGTCCAACCTCGTACCTAAATTTCTTCGATCGAGACGTGTATCATTCCACCATCCTCTGCTACCGAATATTGGTTTGCTTGGCTTCTGCCGCATGCAGTCCCGTAATGGGACGTATCCCAAACTCACTCGACTGAGTCACTCTCAACACGAAAGACTTTATGGTTGATTAGAAGTAGAACGCCATGTCACGAACCGACTATTTCGTTCCATGGAACTACAGGTGGAATCCTGATAATTCTAATATGGCTTAGTTTGAACATACCGCTTAATTAGAAGTTTTTCCAGGACCGATTTCTGTCAATACGATTCCCACATAAACAAATTCTGATAATTCGAACCTCGAACTGGACATGTCCGGTTAATTATAAGTTGCACGGATTCCACTTACATAGAAAATGTGTGGGATTTGTGCTGATAATTCGAAGTTAGCAAAGTGTAATTCGAAGTTCACTGTACACTGTACTGGTCAGTTCAGTTTGCATGAGCAGGCTGTACCGGTCAGTTCAGTATCCGTGAAACCTGTGTCTAAGGTCCATAGCGCAACTATGCTTGACCATGAGAGCATTTTGACATACATTATTGTGTTGTGGGTGCATGTTTGGATAATTAGAATGTCCGGATATAAATTAGAAGTTTTTTCCTGGCATTTTGAGGTTCGAATTATCAGGATTCCACCTGTACTAAGAAAACTCCCACGAAACATTACAGCGCAGCCAAAGAAAGGTACAGGTAAAAACCTCATGCCACACGCACAAGAACACGACAACCAAAAAAAGGCTACACTATGCCAAAGCTGGCTTGGCGAAACTGACCCCAACGGAACCTAAATCGGAGCCCGCTGCATAAATGCGATATTACATGAGGCATCGAGGTGCACCCAAGCGGAGTACATATATGGATATAGCATGATGCCAGGAGCTAAGGTCGAATTTCAGAGAACAGACAGCATGACCGCAATCGCACTGAGCACAACTAGAAGTGTAGAGAGGAAGAGAAAGCAGATCGCAACTGAACATGACATGACCGTGTAGACTGAACTCCGTGGCATTTCTCACCACGCCACCTTGCTATCGGTGGAATAGTAGACAACTTCTCCCGCTGACGTTTGCATGTTGACTGACTGCTTGTCTCCTGTGACCGTGTTGTGGCAGCGGAGCATGGCTGGAATGTGGCTGCATTCACACACATTGCTGCCTAGCTTTGCTGGGTGGCAAAGTTCGCTGGACACTGCCCACTGTGCATATAGTGTTTCAGCTTGTGGACATGAAAGCCCCCCCCCCCCCCCTCCTACTTGGCTTGTGTTGTGGCAAGAGGACATGCTGTGTGCTGATGATAGACACGTCTTGCCCTTGTTGCCGAGACATCTCTTTCTGGTTTGGACAGTTTTGTATGTGTAACACATGTCCAGGAATGATTCTCTTGGCAAAAGACTTCATTAATTTTCTCTATCAAATTAGGATTGAGGCTGACTTTAATCGCCAGCAAGGAAAGCAGATGACTTCTAAAGAGATGTGGACTGTTGGATGCATGGTTTGTTGCTACGTGTGTAGCGCTGGGTTGTTGCTCAGCAGTTTCCTGGGCGACTAGGCACTTTGCGTGTCATCAGAAAGATGACGATTGCCAGATCAGCATCTTCACCGGCCACTTTGAAACTATGAAGTTGGAGCTCGACAAGATCATACAGTTTGCATAATGAAGTTGGCTTATTGCTCATTGGTGGCGTCTCCATGAGAATAACATGACTTGCGTTGCCTTGTATCTGTGTATCTTGTACCTGTGTGTTGGGCTAGATACTGTTTTGGCACTTCGCTTACATGTTCTGTGTGCTTGTGTGCTTGTGTGTTATATGGTGTAATGATGACATCATGGTATGCCACATGACATCGTGGTGATGTCATCTTCATGGTGTGTTGCGTCATGCAGACAACATTTCATGTTGGTGTAGCGTTCGCGTGGGTGATCAGAAGTACAAGACGGCCGTATGCTCTTCTAAACAAGCATGGAAGACAGCATACTCATTCCTCTGTAACGACCCTGCTGAAGAATCGGTGAGAGATTTGTGATATGAAATGTGTACATTATAGCTTAAGATAGCCAAGCACACAGCATGAGTTGGACTTGATGTGGTTCATTAATAGAGACTATTAGCAAACTGTCACGCTAACGGTCAAACGATCGGATAACTCCGATTTCCAATCGTCAAAGCAGGCACGGCACAAAGCCGTGCATTGAACCATTCAGGCACGTGATGCGTGATGCGTGCTTCTGATATGTCACAAGACTGTTGGCACGAAGATGACCAATCGCATTTTTTGACTCGAGAAGGTGGTTGAGTCGTGCTTTCAAGCGCGATTCGCGATAGGAAGATCGAAGTGCGTGTTCGTGTCAGAAATCCAATCAAAACAGTCGTGTACATGTTCTATCAGCCAATCACAGCCCTTCGCGAAGGATTTACAAGTTCGATATGAGTGTCAAGCGTGGGTGCATGTCAGAAATGTAATCAAAACACTCCTACTCTTGTTCGATCAACTTTCACCACAGCCCTTCGCGCGGTACGCGGCTGGCTGTGATTCCATACATCAACCGGAATCGGAATCGTTTCGTGATCACCCGTTGGGGCTGCTCCAATCGTGCTCACGAAACGATTCGAGTTTCCCGCGCGCCGGCCTCGTTCCCAGTGTGTCCCCATCGTCGCTCCCGACGGTTTGCTAATGGTCTCTTATCTTGTAGCCGGACCTTTGTTTCATCAATCTCTTGTATACTGCGATGCTTGCACGTGTGTGTGTGTGTGCGTATGTGTGTGTGTGTGTGTGTGTGTGCGTGCGTGTGTGCGTGCGTGCATATGTACAGCTGGTGCTGAAGGTGATGACCCGTAAGATGATGCGTAAGTCTACGTTATTGGAGCATCCAACCAACCTGTCCACCCTGGCACCCAGACCGGCCAGACCAGCATCTAGAGCTAGTGAAGGCAAGCGTCGTAGCTACAGTGCCGGTAGTGGAAGTACCAGTGACGCTGGAAGTTTTGCTGCTGGTGCTGCTGGTCTGGAGAATTTGGAGACCGTGTCCAGGTAAGGTACTTTGTAACACACACACACCCTTCTCTCCCATTGCTCACTCAACCACACACTCGCTCACTCACTTGCCACCAATGTCATTCTGACATCCTTTGCTTTCCCGTAAACTGATGTTTACCACTGACAGACAGGCTATTGTTATGCAGCATGGGTCTAAGACTCTTGTTCTTCCCATCACACATCATGTGTCTTTCCACTGCCACTATACTTGCTAGTTTCCCAGTTTGTGCCAAACCTTAGTCTCCCCCCCCCCCCCACCCCGTGCCAAACCTTAGCCTCTGTCACTCTGATTGCTTGCACACAGACACCACAATTTCACGTATCGTGGTGGCCAGTTGGACATGGACATTTCCTATTCACCACTTAAGCCCATATCTCTATCAGCAGACACCGCCATGTCACCGTCACCCGCACCACAAACACCATCGGACTCGGAGTGCTGTGAGTCAGCTCGTCTTGCCATTGGCCAATATGCCATCTCATGATATCTGCCACCTGCTCTCTCTCTCTCTCTCTCTCTCTCTCTCTCTCTCTCTCTCTCTCTCTCTCTCTCTCTCTCTCTCTCTCTCTCTCTCTCTCTCTCTCTCTCTCTCTCTCTCTCTCTCTCTCTCTCTCTTCTCCTCTCCTCTCCTCTCCTCTCTATTCTCCTCTGCCATTTACACTCACTGACTTTCTCTCATTGCACTCATGGAGTCATACGGTTCTTTCTGTTTTGCTCCCTTGTGGAGAATGTGAGTGAGTTCAGGGCTACATGGATAGTTACTGTTAGTGCTTCTTCTATATTGATCTTCAGGCACGTGTTCCCTTGGCTAATGTTCCCTTGGCTAGTGTTCCCTTGGCTAATGTTCCCTTGGCTAGTGTTCCCTTGGCTAGTGTTCCCTTGGCTAATGTTCCCTTGGCTAATGTTTCCTTGGCTAGTATTCCCTTGGCTAATGTTCCCTTGGCTAGTATTCCCTTGGCTAATGTTCCCTTGGCTAGTGTTCCCTTGGCTAATGTTCCCTTGGCTAGTGTTCCCTTGGCTAATGTTCCCTTGGCTAGTGTTCCCTTGGCTAGTGTTCCCTTGGCTAATGTTCCCTTGGCTAATGTTTCCTTGGCTAGTATTCCCTTGGCTAGTGTTCCCTTGGCTAATGTTCCCTTGGCTAATGTTTCCTTGGCTAGTATTCCCTTGGCTAGTGTTCCCTTGGCTAGTGTTCCCTTGGCTAATGTTCCCTTGGCTAATGTTTCCTTGGCTAGTATTCCCTTGGCTAATGTTCCCTTGGCTAGTATTCCCTTGGCTAATGTTCCCTTGGCTAGTGTTCCCTTGGCTAATGTTCCCTTGGCTAATGTTCCCTTGGCTAATGTTTCCTTGGCTAATGTTCCCTTGGCTAATGTTCCCTTGGCTAATGTTTCCTTGGCTAATGTTTCCTTGGCTAATGTTTCCTTGGCTAATGTTCCCTTGGCTTATGTTCCCTTGGCTAGTATTCCCTTGGCTAGTGTTCCCTTGGCTAATGTTCCCTTGGCTAATGTTCCCTTGGCTAATGTTTCCTTGGCTAGTATTCCCTTGGCTAGTGTTCCCTTGGCTAGTGTTCCCTTGGCTAATGTTCCCTTGGCTAATGTTTCCTTGGCTAGTATTCCCTTGGCTAATGTTCCCTTGGCTAGTATTCCCTTGGCTAGTGTTCCTTTGGCTAATGTTCCCTTGGCTAATGTTCCCTTGGCTAATGTTCCCTTGGCTAGTGTTCCCTTGGCTAATGTTCCCTTGGCTAATGTTCCCTTGGCTAATGTTCCCTTGGCTAGTGTTCCCTTGGCTAATGTTCCCTTGGCTAATGTTCCCTTGGCTAGTATTCCCTTGGCTAGTGTTCCCTTGGCTAATGTTCCCTTGGCTAATGTTCCCTTGGCTAATGTTCCCTTGGCTAATGTTCCCTTGGCTAATGTTCCCTTGGCTAATGTTCCCTTGGCTAATGTTCCCTTGGCTAGTATTCCCTTGGCTAATGTTCCCTTGGCTTATGTTCCCTTGGCTAATGTTCCCTTGGCTAATGTTGCAAGAAACCAAGTGTATGTGTGCTCTTACACTGCATGTGCAGTCAATCTTGCCAATAACCACCATCGTTTGTGTATAGGAAAAGTGTCGTTGTTTGCGACTTGTCGTTATTCGAGAGGTTGAACCTCTGCAGTCAAATGGTCGTTGTCGTTATGCGCTAGTTGTCGCTATTCACGAGGTTGACTGTATCTAAATATCGTTATGTCCCTGTGTCAATCTCCCTGTACACCTAGTCAGTTGTCTAAGGTCCTCCGGCTGCGTATAGCGCTCTATGTCCAGTGAACACAGCCAGTACATGTAATACAATAGTCACACGGCGATGACATAACGGCAGAAAAGGACTTGGTTGTGTCATTGCTGTGTGAGTCTCTGTAAACCTAGGTAGGGGCATGTACAGCTGTACTGTAAAAGCAGAAATTTTCGGTGGTGTTTTATTTTCGGTAACTTTGGTGCCGAAATTTTTTACCTATAATAAACCGCACCGAAATGTCGGTACTAGTAGTAGTACACTTACCTGGAAAACGGGTTTACGGAATAATTTCCCTCCACCGAACTGCCGATTTTGGAGAATACCAAAAATATTACACCACCGAAAATTTCTGCTTTTACAGTATTTGGTTTCTGTGTCCCTGTGTTGTTGTGTTGGTTGCTACTCTCTTGCAGTGTCTGGAGTGATGTACTTGTGCATAGCCTATCTATGTGTGCATACTGCATAGTCTATGTATGGCTCTCTGTTGTGTTGGTTGATGCTGTTTTGCAGTCTCTGGAGTGATGTACGTGTGCATGCATAGTGCTGCAAACCTACTGGCTATGGATGATGACGGCACCAGTGATCCCTACTGTGTGCTGATGCTCAACAGGCGCAAGGTAGGTGTGTGTGTGTGTCTGTGTGTGCGTTTGTTCGTTTTGAGAGGGGGGGGGGGGGGGGGGGAGGGGGGTCTGGGGAGAAATGAACACCTATCATCCTACATGTATTACCTTGAAAGGTAATATGACGAACAAAGGACCAATGAACTACAAGTTACGCTATAATGTCCACTGACACCACCAGCTACTTGACAATCAGCTCATGCGATAACATTGCACGACACTGACCAGTGGTGCTGACGTTCTACACCTAACTGGCAATCAGCTCTAGCACATCTTGGATGCGCACTCCAACAGCCTTCCAGCTTGGAAGGTTCTAAGTTATAGAAGTGACATAGGAGGGGAAGTTGAGCGCAACCAAGACAAGCACGAGCTGAAAGTCTCAGCTGTGAAAAAAACATTGGTGGATGTACATGCATGTCGATGACGATACTGGCAAGACTATTGGACAATACGGTCAAACAACAATTCAAGGGCTCTATAGCTTAGAACCTTCCAAGCTTTCATTCAGTGCACTACATGTATATGCCTACTGTGTTTTCCAGAGTAGAATAAGCTGCACTCAGATGGATTTTTTGTCACGAAATACAGTCATCTACCCTGTACTTCACAGTGCATTTGACCATGGTAGAATACAAGTGTTTAAACTTTAAAGTGCAGCTTACACTCCAGAAAATACGGTAATTATTAATTTATTATGGTTGTGTTGAGAAGAACCTACAACACTGTGGAACCAAATACACCACCCAGACCGATACACCACCCAGACCAATACACCACCCAGACCAATACACCACCCAGACCAATACACCACCCAGACCAATACACCACCCAGACCAATGCACCACCCAGACCAATACGCCACCCAGACCTAACCAAATACACCATCCAGACCCCTGAACAATCTCTCTCCCCCGAAGTGCATAAAAATGCAAGGAGAACTAAAACCCAACTGTAATGTTCCTTAGTGAACATCAAGTTAGTTCCTGCACTCCACAAAGCAAATCGACAAGCTACAAAAGCACAACAGAACACAAGCCAAATAGAAAAACATGTTCAGCACGTTAGCTGGCTAGCTCATGCCAGGCTGGATTGTCCTCCGAGCACATCGTCTGTACGATGTCTTACGGCTTCGGCCCCGGCAACACAACTGCTCTATGCATGTAATGATAAATTCCATTGGAACAGAGTTTGCATGCCCTCTCCTAGTTCTTTTTCACAAGCTTAGAGACTCTTTGCCTCTTCCTATATCTCCCTTTATTCCTTATTTCCATGGCTGATGTTGACACTGTGCATGCATGTGCTGTATGCATATACTACTCGCAATGAAAGGTGTTCACGTCCAATTTCCAAGTGAATACACTTGATCCTGTGTGGGAACAAGGTGTGGAGTTCTTCACGGCAGACTATCGCAAGGTATGTACTTATTCTGCTCTCTCTCTCTCTCTCTCTCTCTCTCTCTCTCTCTCTCATGTAATACTTGGGGCGTGATGTGTCTTCCATTTTACACAGGGGTGGAATAATCCCCTGAGACATTTCCGCTCATGGTTTCTTACTAAAGCAATCCTCAGCAAGCCAGGCATAGCAGACACGGCATTGAACAAGGAAGACACTCCGAGTGGCAACATTTCCCTGAGAATCCTCTCTTTCGTTGCTTGCCAGTGCTATGCCTTGTGCACTGGGCATTGGTCTGGGAGTTTCTGCTATGTTTATATGATCTAGTGCACCCTTCTCTGCGCCCTTAAGGGGGCAGCCTACCCATAAATTTCATATGGCATTCAATTGACCGTAACTTTGGTGTTTCTCAATGGATTTGAGTGAAATTTTGACCACACACTCCTGCCACTATGCTGGCCCTCAGGACATGATTTACAAGTTCTTGCGCCTCACTGACAGGCTTTCCAGACCGGAAAAACTCAAATTTCCGGCATAGTGCCACGGTGTGCGAGCCACCCAGGAGCCAAACAAATGCATTTACAATTTTTTCACATTTTCGTGCTCATTCTGTTCGTGCGCGGGACTCAAACCTAGAACAAGTCCAGAAGCAGCCATGGGTGATGGGGTAGGGCCCCTCAACGAGGCCCTGGAATCTGTCACAACGGAACGAGTGGGCGTTCTCTCACACACTCCCACAGACCCAAGTCAATTTTTGAATTTTTTTAGGTTTAGGGTGTGCTACGAGGTCGTACCTTTGATACAACATCCAGTGCTGGGACCTCCACAGCAAGCCATTTCCACAGCGCTGCACACCAAATCCAGGATACCCTCAGAAACCGGCAAAGACTACCACTCACGTTTCACTACTGCCTAGTACTGAATCCTACCTGACTTCTTGACACGACTCAAACTTGCCAAAGTCACTAAATCAATGTCAACTACAAATAATCAAGCCACATATCTGCAACGTCACATGGGTGCTGGCAAAAGTCCTGCTGCACGGCGGCGGGCAAAGCCCGCCGCCGTGCAGCCCAATACGTGGCTCAAAAACCTGATTTTTTGGACTTGGAGCAAAATTCTGCACACTTTCACGTGTTTCCATGATACGACAAGTTGCGCACGGTCTGCTCACATTCAAATACAGTGCTGCCAACAAATGACAGCGTGCAACAAAAAAATCTTTCCTTGCAAGGGCACATTTTCGGCCATAACTCTTGAACGGCTGGTCAGATCGGGACACAATTTTCAGAGAATTTGCAGCTATTCATGCTCTTTCAACTGACGTAGCACTCAATATGAATTTACAAATTCGATTTTTCAGCGAATTTTGGGTAGTCTGCCACCTTAATCAACCTCTTACCTCACACACGCACTAGTGCACCTGCATGCTTTCCCTGGGAAAACGCTGTACGCTGTGCTGATGTTACTGGTGCTACTGAGCTACGGTCTGTGATTGTTCATTGTGCTGTTGCTGGTTTTGTTGTTGCATGTATTCTCTGCTGCAGGCTTGTCTGACTTTCTTGCTGTATGACTGGGATGGTCGTGTTAGTGGCGATGATTTCCTGGGACTGACCACTCTTACATTAGAACAGGTAACTACATTATCATACCGTAAAGTCGCGGATAAAAGCCGGGCTTATAAGCACATAAGCCGCTTTCTGCATCAGGCTTTAATGCAAACCAGGCTTGTATGCAAACCATGCTTATATGCACCACTGATATTTTTGCCAGGCTTGTATGCACATCGGCCGATCCGGGCTTGCATAGAAGCCAGGCTTCTACGCGCGACACGCGTAGATTTACCACTGACTACCAGTATGGCGGCAGTTTTACTATGCACTGTACATAGCGCATGCACTCTTGACCTACCCGATCCGCGCTTGCATAGAAGCCAGGCTTCTACGCGCGACAGGCTTATATGCATTGACCCGTTTGATTTTCAGGCTTCTATCCGCGATGTGCTTGTATGCAAACCCGGCTTTTATCCGCGACTTTACGGTATGTGTTAGGCTGTACGAGTTTTTTTTTTTTAATTTCATTTCGGCCAGTCGGCTACTATCATGGTCTTGGGGGTTAGACATGGGGAAGTAGCCATGTAGGGGCGTGAGCCAGCCTTTCGGCACCGGGAGTTGCAGCTCGCTCAACTCGACTCTACTGAGTGAAGAGAACCCACACCTTGATCTGGTGAGCTGTGTTGTGGGGATTTTGCAGTCAGATGTACGAGTATGTACAGTAGAACCTGTCTAAAACAACCGACCACTCAAGGGACCTTCGAAACGTGGTCCCCTTATTCAGTGTCATTTTACTGGATAAAACATCCCTTGGTCCTGGCTGCAGTGGTCTTCTGGGGCAGGTGTTTGCCTTGTCCGAGTGGTCACCTCGACGGGTTCACCATAGTGTCTTGTAGAAAAGCCTGCCTCACATAGAAGCTTTTGTTGGATTCAAGCCAGATTTCCAAGATGTGCTGTCGGCACATAAGCCTGGTTTTAACCCTTTATTGGCCGATTAAAATATAAACAAGCCCACGCAATCGCCAAACCAGTACCTAAATTGGACGTAACTTTAGTTTGCACTGGACGAATTCCACGATCTTGGGCATCCTGGAAAGGCCTTGACAAGAGGAGCGCAATGAGCGTACACTCGACTCCACGGGATGCACTGGCGCAGCGCTGCAAGCCAGGGAAGGCCCACCAGCGCTGGGCTCACGTTCGAGATCTATCTATATCCACCATTTCACTCCTGTTGCTCGTATCAAACTCAAAAAAATTCGTAGAGACTCCCGGGAACCTGCTTTTGAAGTTGAATCGGTGTAGCCTTGTCAACAGGTGACGTAAGCAGGGAAAATCCCGGTCGTTGACCCACGCATCGCGCTCTGAGCGCAAATTTCCCGGGACCAACATTACGAGTGCTATAACTCAAGAACCGCTCTTTGTATCGCTTCGAAAATTGTTCGAGGCGCCAGCTGAGAGTTTTCTCTTCGACCTACATATTTCGATCTCTCCGAAAGACCGAGATTTGACCAAGTTACGATAATTTCAAAAAGCCTACCCCATCGAACATCGGTGTTCGATCAATGTATGGGCCGGCCAATAAAGGGTTAATGCTGCCATGCATAGAAAATTGCCAATGCCTGGTTTGAATGCAAGCCTGATTTGAATAGAAGCCTAGCCCTGACATCGGCTCCCACAGGAATACGCCCATCTTTTGTACGCGACATTACGGAAACTGTACTGTCTTGTACATTGTTACTGTGTACAACGGAGTACACATTGTACAGCGGAGTATACATTGTACAGCGGAGTATACATTGTACAGCGGAGTATACATTGTACAGCGGAGTATACACTGTACGTGTTGGTGTTTTGTGCCTCCGGTGGTCAAGGCAAGGCTGCCTCTGCTTTCCTCAAGCGCATTGCATCAATGCTGGCCGAGAAGCGGAAGGAACCGTTCTCCATGG